GAGGTATGCATGTCCTTATTATGGCCATTGACCTTGCAGGACATGAGCTGTTCTCCTGTGGGGTCACACTGTATCATGATTCATAGAGAAAAGGCTCAAGGTTAAGTAGAGAAGCCACAATGACTTGAAAGCCTTTGCCTTCTTTTCTAACCCCAGTCTCCTGCTTCCTGTCATTAAAATGAACTTCAATCCTGGTGATACCGTTGCTTAAATTGACACACTTTCTCAAAGTGAGAAGACTGAGGTCAAATACAGTGAAACACACAGAAAAGTAATTTGAAAGTCATAGCAACCACTCTTGGCAAAGTTCATGACTGAGGAGAAGAGCAGAGAATCAGACATGCACTTTCAGGCAGAAGTGAATACTTTATGGTCTTGCAGCCTCTCACATAAGTAATGTGAGAGAATATTGAGTCATATCATGAGTAATTTATTATTAGATTAATCTATAAATATACATGTTAAAATATTCCTTAAGAACAAGAATGACTTGGTTCAGCTTTCAGCTGAAAGAGCCCCATCAACTATCAATTTAATTTGGGGAGAGTGATGTCTTGTTTTGTGTTTCTATCAAAAATGAAACTATGCTAAGGTGAATATCTGATCAGAGGGGTCAAAAAAGAGCACTTCAATTTCATGTTCTGAGTAGCTCCTAGATGGTTAGATTTAGAGATGCAGGAAGGATGTGGAAAGCCTACATTCCTTTACGCACTGCTGGGACTAAAATCTCCAACTGTACCCTGGGATGATTTTTCCTTATAGTACTTTATTTATTGAATAAATTAAGGTCTTCAGGACCCAAGTCCTATTCTCTGATTATAAGGAAAGATCCTGATTTTATCAGGTCCTGAAGGACTAAGTTTTTGCCTGCTTGAAAACATTCAGGAGACCATTGTTATTGAACATTTACTTCCAGAAGGATCTTCCTTTGGTGTCTCGGAAGGCCCTACCTGTGAGACATTGGATTCAATGACAAGTACCCAAGTCATCTGCTCTTGTAAATGGGGGTTTATGACTAAGGTGGGCCCCTGAGAACAGGGAAATAATTTCATTGGACAACTTCATTAATCACACTCTTGTGTTATTTTGAATTGTTCTTTTTCTCATATGTTCCTGTTTATTGTCCTATTTCCCTAACATTGAGTTAGTGCCTATTTATGAAAAAATTAGTTTTTTTTTCCTTCTCCCAGAGAACACACTATAGTAAGAATTTACTAATTAAATGATGTATAGGTCAACATAAGGAATCTATTTTTAGTAAAACAAAAATCCTACATTTTCTCTATTACCTGAAATACACTACTTGTGTATGAATTTGGTTTCTTTTTTCAGACTTGCGTGGAACTTAATTTTTTAAAACTAGTTCACTTAACATGCCTTAGAACTTAATATATCTCACTAATCAAAATTTTGGCCTGTATGTTTTTAGTTATGACTGCTATTTGCCCAGTTTTTAGGGAAAGAAGGGATTTAGTCTCAGACTGAACAAATGGGGAAAGAAAGAACTAGAAGATTTTGATTAAGGTCAATGTTTAATGATAAATTGTGCCAATCAGCAATTTAAAAAAAAATACAAAACCGTTTCTGACCTAAAAGAAGGAATTGGTTTATTTTTAGTCACATTTGGGAAACAGATGGTGGAGTCATTTTGTGTATAAACTGCATGATGCCAGTGCTCATATATCAACTATCAAAATAATAAAATTTCATTGGACATCAAATGACAATAAATGATGCTTTAAAATCTTTGATTTTCGGGAAAATAGGGAAGTTTGTTAAATGAGAATTAAAAAAAAAGATGTCATCAGTGAAAAAATAATGGTATATTCTTATCAGACTCAAAATAATTCCTCTGACCAGATTCATAAAGGTTATGAGCAGATGAGACAACTTAATTTTTCACCGAGAGTTGGGATGAGTCCCTACAGCTCTGTTCCAAGCTGTGGCTTGAGAATGTAATTGGTTTTAATTAATCATGAAGCAGTGCCAGAGAAGTGCTCACAGGACTGCTGTGGGTCTGGGCTGCTTGAGATTGTGTTTTAACAACTTCCTATCTGCCCCCTCTTTTTTCCTTTTATTATTGTTATTGAAGTCAAGAAGAATGGGGGAAAGGTGAATAGCTGTTTTTCTCTTTGATCCAGCAATTTATACATAGAACTTTTAATTATACTGAAGAGATAATTCAGCAAGACATGCACTGAGGGAGAATTTTTTTAACCTGTTTTTTAAAAAGACAAGATTTTATTTTAACAGAGTTCTAACTACTGGCCACATTTAAGCCAAATATTTATAAATGAATTAAATAAAGATTAAAACAAGAAAGGTGCTAAGGTGGTAAGAAAATAGACTAACATTTACAAAATCAGAGGTTAGTCCCTGAACTGTCATAAATAAAATGAGTAACCTTGGACAAGTAAGTCATCACCATTATTACTTTTCTTGTTTATGATAGAGTTGGCAAGCATCCTGGAAAATCCACTCCTATTTAAGAAATTGTCTCTTTGTATACAGTGAAACACAATATTAGAAATTGGTTGTGATCACTTATTATTTCAGAATGCCCAATTTCTTCATGCCTGTTTTTCCTCTCTCCCACACATTTACATAAATTTAGTTTGTACCTTCTACTTGAAGTTCAGCTCTTCCCAGATCAGAAACAATATTGTTACTTTCTCTGACTCAACATCCACTAGATGTTCATCAATTTAACTCCCTATTAGGAGTTAAGAAAGACTCTTCCTCATTTAAAATCATTTTCTTGAATGTAAATAAGACTTAGTAGAAATAGGCTGCTATTACTATAGTCAGTAAAAATGGCTTAATCCTAAATTTCTGTTCAAGTAAGTATGACCCATTAGGTAAGCAATCTAACCTTTCTGTGCCTCAGCTTTCTCATTTACCCAATAAATGGGATATTTTAAAAGTATATTATAATGAAGAATATGAGAATTCTTTGTAAATTAAAAGTGCTATTTAATTTTGAGTTACTGTCATTAATAATATAAGATTTGTGACCATACAGGGGGAAAGTTTGCTTTCCTGGCTGGATGCCTGAAGAGATAGATTATATAAGTGTGTCATCACAAATTATTCTTCAAGCATTCATAACCCACAGAAACTTCTTGAAATCTTGAAATGGGTCCTGGTGTCACCCCCTGTGAAGACAGAATTTCCCTAATAGTAATGTAGGTTTGGACTGACCCAGTTCATCTTCAGTTTCCTCACTCTAACATTAAGTAGATATATGTTACATTAGAAAGGTAGCGTTTGAACTGTGCTATGTTGGTGTATATAATGGTCTTGTCACTTCAGGCCTCCAAGAGCCCTTAATTTGCCACTTTAGAAGCCCTTAGTAGCAGAGAGAAACTGAATCAGACTACTTTCCTCAACAACTTTCTTTTCTCCACAACTGGTGCCATACCGTGTCACCAACATACCCATTTCAGGACAGGACAGAAAGAAAAACCAACTAATGTATTGGGCAAGAAAATTCCGTGTTCATTGCCTTTAGTCTGGGCATGTTGTATGTGGATCCTGATGGATGTGCCCCAAGGCACATGAGGTCATTCAAACACATTTTGATTATGAATAGTAAATGCCTGGCACAGAGCAGTTCCTTAATTTGGTTAAAAGAATTAACAAGGAATTTATACAAAATATCTAATGAGTACATATTTTATTCACCATTGAAGAAGACACATAGGAAATAATATGATATGGTTCTATGCCATATATTGTCGTTTATATCAAAAGACAAGACATGCATATATAAAATATTTCAGCATTAAAGTTGGGAGATATTTAGTGATGAAATACGTGTATGTATATGTGTGTTTGTGTTTGTGTGTGTATGGTAAGTAAAGTAATCTAGGTGTTCGAAGTGGTAAACTAATGAACGCTCTTAGGAAGTAAAAGTTGAGCTGGATTTTAAACGATGCATGGAAATGAGAAGATGAAAAGATATTTGGCATCTCAAGAAGTAGTAACAGCATGAGAAAATAATTGGAAAAGTAATTGGCCAATTGCTTTTGGGCAGTGGTGGGTAAAGGTCATTGGAGGTGAATATTTAAAACAAAATAGAAGTATAACATATGGTATGTTATAAACTTGAGTAAAAATACTCAAAGTGTGTATGAAAACAAATGTGTAAAGATGTTATTATTTGAAATAGCAAAAACCTTGAAATAGTTTAAATTGCATCGGTAGGGGAATGGTTAAATAATATGGCACATACACATTATAAAATGCTAGGATGTAGTTGAAAAAAATTAAGTAGATCTTTGTGTACCGACACAGAAAGACCACCACTGAAAGACGTGACTATGTATAAATGGAGAAAATACATTGATTTAATGTTAGTTAACTTTGAAAATTGATTTTAAAAAATCAAAGTGGCATTTCAGGAAGATTAATGTGGTGACATTGTATCAAATTAAAGGGCCTCCTCTGTGGCGCATCGGTTGAGCACAGCCCTGTGAAGCTGTCCATAGCCTCAGCAACGCGAGTTCGATTCCCAACCAGCCAGGGAGATCCCCACATGGTGTGGCAGACCTCTCCTGTCTCACCTGCTGCTCCCCTCAGCAGTGTATTTAATTCATCTGCCTGTTCTGCTCCCCTATCTGTCTCTAGTGAATGCTCTCACCCTCCCGCCCCTCTGTTCCAGCTCTTGTATAAAAATAAAATAAATATTTTTTTTAAAAAGAGCTAAACATTGTATCAAATTAAAAGGGAGCTATTGTAAATGAAAGGGATATTGGGAGATGTTTGCAGAAGTAGAGATGTAGGCAGCTAAGGATGGAGACCTGACCGGCAAAGAGAAAGAAAAAACCCAGAGACGTTCTGAAGAAGGAGTTTAAAGGACTTCAAGACAGATTAATAACATAAGGACTCAAAGAGAAAGGAAAGAGATGCCCCGGTGTAAGTTTAGAAATAAATTCTACTAATTGCAACACACCCATGTTAATCAGAAATCTTTAAAGAAATTATTGTTTGTTTCTCAGGATGGAAGAAACAGTAAGAAATCTATTGCAGAATCAAGGACCTCCAGAACAGAAGAAAGAAGAAACTGTTAATATAGTGGTCTATCAGGTACAATTTGTTTTTTATTCTCAACTAGGTATCAGTTAGGTTGTTTTCTTACATTTCTTTAACTCTGTCTTCTTTGTCCCAGAGGTAAATAAACCGGTATTGTCCAGATTCTGCAAAGGGCCACTTAGCTCCGTTTAAGGAATCATATATATGATTATCTAACTCATCTGCTTTCTGAGCTCCTACTATGAAGCAATGTGTAGACTGGGTTGTAGGAATATACCCAAAATAAGTTTATAGTGAAAGGGAGAGGCCTATAAAAATAGTGCAGCACCTCTTTGTTGAGGGCTGTAAGAGAAGTATCTATATCATTCTCTATAAACACAGAGGTGGGAGTGAAGGGAATTAAGAAACAACTTCCTAGCAGTATGACGTTAAGGTGAACATGAGGGATTAAAGAAAAAGGGAAAGACAATCCAGGCAGAAAGGGAGTCATAGTAAAGGTGTGGTGGTATGAATTTGCATGGCAGGCTCTTGGTGAATTAGAAGTTCAAAATATCTAACTAATGGGCTAGTCAAACAAAAAGTTTGATGCTAAGACAGAGTGCACACAAGATCTGGATGAGGTGTGCTGCTTGATGTGTGTGTACCTGGGCAATGTGGAGTCAGAAAATCTCCAAAGGGATTGACTGGTCAATAAAGGGACAGGTTGTCATCTTCCCATAGTCCTTCTTTCATGGTTCTTTAATCCTAGCAGATTGATCAGGCTGGGAAGCAGGACATCTAACTGAGTATGTCCCAAGTTGGTCACACAGAAAAAGCAGTTCCGGTAGAGTAGGAAAAAGAATTACAGTACAGTTTACAGACAGTAATTTATAGAAAAATTAAGGCATTTTATTGAAAATCACAAATAAAGACCCAATATTCATTGCACAATTATGCATGGAAACCTTAAAAATTATATAAGCTAGAGTAAGCAAAGAAATGTCTAAAAAGCAAGTGGAATTGAGGAGGCAAGCATAGGAATTGAACTGGTAAAATGATTTTGCTCTAACTTACCAAAATTCCTGGTACAGGACTTGAAAATCCAACTTGTTATAAAGAGGATTGGGAGGAATTATACACAGATAAGAAATGTAGGTAGGTAGTCTCAAGATATCCATGTCCTAAATAAATGACTGTTCAACCATATATGTACTGCTTTATGAAGATGGGGACATTGTCCTCCATCTCCAGTGACAGAGTATAAGAAGCTGACTTATGCTATCTCAGGGTAGATTTCTAGAGAAAGGATTTAAGAGTCTCCCTCAATGAATAGTTTTTACATAAGGAATGTTGCTCAACTTTTCCTGATATGTGTTTGTCCCAAGTAAAGATAGAGATTTACATCCTCTGAATTTACAGCCCTGAATTGCTCCTAGGTATTATATCTGCTTTGGTAGAAAGTTGAGGTATAAGTAAAAAAATAAAAATAAAAGGGAACTTAACTGTGCTTTAAGTGATTCTGTGCAGTCTAAAACAGTCCTACGAATCTGAAATGTTAGTCATTAGTTCCCCCTCACAGGTAACACCAGGCTCCAGTTAGAATTAAATAATTCAGTGTGACTCTTGTGCTTTTCCCAATCTCTTCACTGTGGCTCTGTTTCATCCAGGTTCCTGTTTTCTTTTGATGACTCTTTTCTAATCTTTATAGTCAATTAGTAGTCAAATTTGTGATACAGACACTTAGCATTATCATCAGGATTCATTGTGTGAAATTGGAAGCTTAGAAAAACAGATAAACCTTTAAAAATGTGGGTTTTTTTCATGCATCCTAGAACTGGGATGTAAGCCAGAGGTGTGAGGGTTAAGAGGATTCACCAAAGATAGAGTGGGGAGCAGAACAGGAGGATTGACTGAAATACACTGCTGAGGGGAGCATCGGGCAAGACAGAGTTCTGCTGTGCCATGTGGGTTAGTTCCCTGGCCAGGGATGGAACTTGTAGAAGCTGAGGATAGCTTCCTAGTGCTGAGACTTAACCCTTTGCACCACCAGGGAGGCCCTTAAGATGTGTTTTAAAACTGGTGGAGGACTATGGGTACATTGGTGCATAGTGCTGACATAGAGCTGAAAAGGTGTGAACCTATACCTCCGAGTCCCATATAGTGGGACTCAATAAAAATATCAAATAAAACAAAAGCACTATTTCTTCTCCATAACTCAGTCTATTAATTTTGGGAAGTTAGCACTTTCTTTTAGGGACAAGACATGATTGACCTGAATTAATGTTACACAGAAGGGATATTAGCCATTGTTCTAATTGGCCTTTGTTCATTATCTGGAAAATGGAAGAGGGGCGTGGGTTACATGATCCCTAAAGTTCAATTACATAGTAGGTAAATAGTCACTGAGCTTTTATTGTCTACTAGGCACAGCATGTTCTCTGAGGACTCAAAAACTTGAGGATGGAGAGAAGGGAAAGTGAAGTGCTGCTAGGTGGAACAGAGTCCCTGGGAGGTCATCTAACAAATTCTAGTATTCTAAATATGAGTCACAGTAGCAAGATAGGTTGTGCATGATGTATGTACTCGTGGAGCACATAGGTGACAGCTCTCTGTAATATTTTCAGGCAAGAGCTAGGAAACTGATTGCTTCATAATGTTCAGTGTCATTAGCACACCTGACTCAGAATTTTCCAAGTGTAAGGCCTCACTGACAAGAGGCAGAGGCCCATGGATAGGGTAGGTGATGGGAAAGCTGGAGTCCCTTTTATTTTCTGTCTTAGAAATATTTATCCTGAGACTTTTATCATTAAGCTAATATGATAGTAACGGAATAATCGCTTCCTGTGTTCAAGGCCCATGCTAATTGCTTTTTGCATGCATTAAACAATGGTCATATTTTGTTCAAGGGGTATGTTCCTGAAGACCTCTCAGCAAAAGAGGACCTACTGTGTGGCAGCCAGTCATTTACCATTTATCAGTTTTGCAATTGTGCAATTCTTGCTTCTTTTTTTAATAAGGGTAGTTTGTATAATTTCAAATTTTGCACATGAAGTGGCATTAATAAATTTTTTGTGGCCATGATTTCAAATATACCCAGTTCAGAGTCCCATGAAATGTGACTAGATGAGAACTCATTCGGTCCCACAACTTTATGCAGGAAGTACTCTATCTTTCCCACCTTAGAGATACGGGCATTGGCTCAGAGAGGCCCACACTTGCCCAAGAATGCTCAGCCTGGAAGTAGCCTAGAGGGGATTTGGACTCTGATCAGTCTGACTCCATGGCCCCAGCTTTTTATGTGGAGGAATTCTGAAGAGATTAAATAATGGGGTACAAATTACCCAGATAGTTATTACCTATCTTAGGCGCTCACTAATTTCCATCCATAGCTCTCTGTATACATATACTTATTTGTTCAATCAATCATTTAAATGACAATTACCTTTCTTACCTACATGTATTAATTTCCTATTGCTGTTCTAAGTTTAGTGACTTAAAACAAGACAAATTTATTATTTTATAATTCTGGAAGTCAAATGAATATAAATCATGGCATTAGGAGTTCTTTCTGGGAGTTTCAGAACAGAATCATTCCATTCCCTTTTCCACATTCTAGCTTTCCTTGACTTGGGGCCTTTTCCTCTAGTTTCAGAGTATATCACTCCAGCCTCTGGATCCACTGTCATATCTCCTTTCTCTGTGCTTGACCCCTCCCCCCCACCCATAAGGACTGATTACATTGGGTCCATCCAGATAATCCAAGATAATGGAACTATCTCCCCATCTAAGGAGACTTCATCTGATCAAATTTGCAAATTCTTATTTGGCATGTAAGGAAAACATAGTCTCAGATTTCAGATGTCAGAATCTTTGTAGACATCTTTGTAGACAAAGATGTAGACATCTTTGGTAGAGGTGAGGTGGGGGAGGGCATGATTCTTCCTATAGTACTAAATGCCACATTAATCCAGCACACTGATGGTATCCAGTGGCACCAGCCTAACTGTTAGAGATATAGACATGCCTGCCTGATGGAGACTTTCCCTGGAAAACTCAGTTTGTAGAATGCTGGGGAGTAGGAAGAGATGGAAAATGATTAAATATATGCAACAACATGATAGGAAGCAAAGTAGCAGCTTGTAAAAAGGTTCTGGGACACAGAGGAAGATGCTGATAAACCTACTGCACTGTTCTCCCTGGAAACTCTGCCTCCTGCCTAGGACTTATTTTTAATAATCCAATTTCCATTTCTTTTAGTCTCTCTTGACTCTTGAAATGGATTGAAGACTCACAAGCTTCCTTGTAAATCCCACAGTTGCCGTTCTCGGAGCATTTTATATCCAATGTTTTAGGAAACAGTTTGGCTTTCAGGATATGTTTGGTTCTTTACAATTTACACAGTGTTTACACAACAAGGGTCTCATTTGATCGTCTTAGCAGCCTCTAAAGTAGATATTATCATGCTCATTTTTAAAGATGAGTCTTTTTTTTTTTTTTCAACTCTGGCAACTCCTAAGTGGTAGAACTAGAAATACATCACTTTCCTAAATGAGATACATGCATAAAACTGAGTAATTTTCTGTGTATAATTTGATAGTGGGGTAGGAAGTGGGCACAGGATAAACTCCCTACTTTGCCAAGTCACTGTCTCAAAATACAAAGAATAAGTGAAAGTAATGAGAGAAGTCATATAATGTTTGTAACTGTCATTTTTCCTGTGGGGGAAAACAAGCACATGAGAGGCAGAAATATTAACTTTACATGTAGGGACAGTGTCATGCCTGAGATAGTCCAGTCATTTTACCGGTGTGAGCTCACTGCATGTTCACAAGAACTCTTGGAAATGCGTATTAGGTTTTCTTCATTTTACGTAAGAGGGAACTGAGGCACATGGGGGTTAAGTTGCTTGCCTAAACACATTGCCAATGTTAGTTCACTTGAGCTCCTTTGCATCTTTTTAGCAGGCTGAGCAGGTTCCCATAAAAGTGAAGTACAAAATCTTTGACAAGAGGCACAGTGAGCTCCAAGAGAGAGCATGAAAAGGCCCACACAGATTTCTGCAACACTGTAGTGGG